CTCTTTCCTCCTAATACCCGCTCCCCGACCCCCGCCAGGAGACCACCCCGGATTCCCGAGCCAGTGCACCTCCCGGTGGTACCCGACGGCAGACTCTCCGCCGCCTCCTCCGCCTCTTCCCTGGCCTCGGCAGGGTGAGACCTACAAGCCCGCGTGGGAGGGTGAGGGGGGGGAGGTGGCTTTCGAGAGGGGCCTCCTGCCAGTGGTCATAGTGACTCCTGGGCTTGAAAGGACCCAGTTAGTCCTGGGTCACACGGGCAGGGCTGGGTTCAGGATTGGAGGGGTGGGGCCAGCTGGGGATGCTGCATTAGGGAAGGCGTGTCGCCAACCGGGCCAAGCCCCGCTTTCTCTGGTGTTCAGCAGCGCCGAAGGTGTCGGTGGGGCCTCCATGCCCAAGGGGCAGGCAGCACCTCCAGCCCCACCTCTCCCCAACTCCTTGGACCCACCTCCTCCACCAGCAGCCGTCGAGGTGTTCCAGCGGCCTCCCCCGCTAGAGGAGTTGTCCCCACCCCCACCGGGTAAGGAGCTCCGCCCCCTTCTCCTTCCCAACCGTGGGGTCGCTTTTCCGCCTCCTGCCACTCCCCAGCCCACCTCTCTTGGATCTGCCCCGGCCATCCTCAGTGAATGCCTCCTCCACGGAGCGCAGCACGGGAGCGAAAGGACGCGGAGGAAGTGAACTAACATAACTTAGCGCCTGCTGTATACCAGACCCTGTGTTCGAAGCTTCTCATCCATTTTCTTATTTAAACTTAATCCTGGCCGGGCGCGATGGCTCATGCCTGTAAACTCAGCACTTTGGGAGGCTGAGGCGGGCGGATTATCTGAGGTCGGGAGTTCGAGACCAGCCTGACCAAAATGGAGAAACCCGGGCTCTACTAAAAATACAAAATTAGCCGGGCATGATGGCACATGCCTGTAATCCCAGCTACTTGGGAGGCAGAGGCAGGAGAATCGCTTGAACCCGGTAGGCAGAGGTTGCCGCGAGTGGAGATCCGGCCATTGGACTCCAGCCTGGGCAACAAGAGCGAAACTCCGTCTCAAAAATAATAATAATAAACTTAATCCTAAAGGCCAGGCGGGGTGGCTAAGGGCCGTAATCCCAGCACTTTGGGGGGCTGTGGAGGGCAGATCACTTGAGGTCAAGAGTTTGAGACCAACCTGGCCAACATGGCTAAAAATACAAAAATTATCCTGGCTGCTGGCGCATGCCTGTAATTCCAGCTACTCAGGAGGCTGAGGCAGATCACTTGAACTCGGGAGGCCTCGAGGCTGCAGTGAGCTGAGATCACCCCACTGCACTCCAATCTGGGTGACAGAGATTCCCTCTCAAAAAAATAAAATAAAACAAAACAAAATAAACTTAATCATGGGAGGGTCCTTAGCACTCTTCCTTAATAGATGAAGCCACTGAAGCTGAGGTTCAGTGACTTGCCCAAGAGCCACCCAGCTAATAAGAGGTAGAGTCTGACTGTCCTCTACTGCTGGATCTTTCAGGGTTTACTGAGCACTTACTATGTGCTAGCACACTGTGGGAGGACCAGGACAGGAGAGGGCTGGAGGAAGATTGCATGAGATGGGTGCATTCTTTTTTCTTTTGAGATGGAGTCTCACTCTGTCATCCAGGTTGGATGGAGTGCATTGGCAAGATCTCAGCTCACTGCAACCTCCACCTCCTGGGTTAAGCCATCCTCCTGCCTCAGTCTCCTGAGTAGCTGGAATTATATGCGTGTGCCACTATGTCCAGCTAATTTTTGTATTTTTAGTAGAGACAGGGTTTCACATGTTGGCCAGGCTGGTCTCAAACTCCTGACCTCAGGTGATCTGCCCACCTTGGCCTCCCAACATGCCTGACTGGGATGGGTGGATTCTGGGGCCCAGCTCTCGAGCAGATCCCTGACACACTGAAGGAGCTTCCTGTGCCACACTTACAGCCTTTCTGCTTTTCCCCCAAGACGAAGAGCTGCCCCTGCCACTGGACCTGCCTCCTCCTCCACCCCTGGATGGAGATGAATTGGGGCTGCCTCCACCCCCACCAGGCTTTGGGCCTGATGAGCCCAGCTGGGTGCCTGCCTCATACTTGGAGAAAGGTACCTGACTTCTGGGACTGAGGGGCACCGGATCCCACTTCCCAGCTTCTGCCTCTGTTGCCCTGACCCCCGTTCTCCTCCCTCTGCAAAGGTGTGAATCCCCCGGGCTCCCCACACAATTTTTCTGACGAACTGAGTTCAGAACAGAACTGGGAAGAGGGCAGCTGGCTTAGTATTAAATATTAACTAAGCTGGGGAGGGGTCCTGAAGGCTTGGAAGCCCCTCAAGATGGTCCCTAGAGTCTAGTACTTGAGACCCTGCATCCCCATGGCGGTGGGGGGGAGGGCAAGAGGCATATCTCACAGCACCCTCTTCTCTTGCCCTGCAGTGGTGACACTGTACCCATACATCGGCCAGAAGGACAATGAGCTCTCCTTCTCTGAGGGCACTGTCATCTGTGTCACTCGCCGCTACTCCGATGGCTGGTGCGAGGGCATCAGCTCAGAGGGGACTGGATTCTTCCCCGGAAACTATGTGGAGCCCAGCTGCTGACAGCCCAGGGCTCTCTGGGCAGCTGATGTCTGCACTGAGTGGGTTTCATGAGCCGCAGGCCAAAACCAGCTCCAGTCACGGCTGGACTGGGTCTGCCCAGCTCTTGGGCTGTGAGCTGTGTTCTGTCCCTCCTCCCATCGTGGAGGGAAGGGGTCCTGCGGAGAGAGAACTTACCCAGAGGCCTGCTGCAGATGGGGAAGAGCTGGAAACCAAGAAGTTTGTCAACAGAGGACCCCTACTCCATGCAGGGCAGGGTCTCCTGCTGCAAGTCCCAACTTTGAATAAAATGGATGACGTCCTGTGACTGCCCCACAGAGATAAGGGGCCAGGAGGGATTGAAAGGCATCCCAGTTCTAAGGCTGCTGCTAATTACAGCCCCCAACCTCCAACCCACCAGCTGCCCCAGAAGCAGCATCTTCCCATTCCCTCAGTACCTACAAAGTGCAGCCCACATTGGACCCCAGACACCCCTCTGCAGCCATTGACTGCAACTTGTTCTTTTGCCCGTTGCTTGCTGTGTGTGTGATGTGTTCATATGTGGCTGGGCACTTGCCCAAGAGTGGGAACCATCTCCCTGACTTAAGCGGGACTCTCCTAGAGCACCTCACTCTCAACTCAGACTGACGCGCCAGAGATCTCAGTCATTTCTTCCCCCTTCACCTCCTTTATAGTTGTAAAACACCAGAGGAAGGAGGGGCTTGGGTTTCGCTGGTTCTGCTTAAAAACATCATGGCTTTCTGTTCCATGGGGGTGGGGAGGGGGATGCGTGGAGGGCCCAGCCCGCAAGGGTGACTTTGGTGAAGTCCCTGGTCTCTTGCTGCATAGATGAGGCTGGGGTGCAAGGAGACACCATCACACGCTGCGAGGTTATTGGCTGGCAGGACCCGCGCCGGACGGTGCGCTACCTCGTACCACCACCAGGAGGCGATTGTTCCCTCTGGCTTTTCCGTTGGGGGTGCTAGAAGGGAGTGCGGGGGTCGGGAGGCAAGAGGGTGTAGACAGCACAGAAATAGTGTGGGGTCGCGTTGGGTGAAGCAAGATCGCAAAGGCCTAGGGCCATAGGTGGAGACCCTCTTCTGTCCGTGGGGAGTCCTTGTGGCCAAGAGAATTTCAGGATCCTGGGTTCCCTCCACAGCAGACTGGAAGGGGGGCGGTCACGCAGCCCGAGGCAACAGTTACAGCGGCGGGAGATGTTCCTTCTCTCACCTGCCAGGGAGCCCCGTCCTCCCAGTTGGTAGGACCAGGAAACACTGCTGCCTTCCAAGGTTTGCGCGCCACCCCGCGATGGGTCAGACTCCAGAACTCAACCGTGCGCAGTGGAGCGGGGGAGGCAGCCGAGGTGGGTTAACTGCATAGATAGGGACGGCTCTGAGCCCCCTTCCCCAAGCCCCTAAAGACGAGATTCCAGAAATTCCCAGAGGGACATAGCAAAGCCAAAGGGAAAAGAGAGTAGTAAAACTAACTTTGTCTTTCCCGAATCCCCCTTCCCCGCCCCCTCCAACGTTGGCCGGGGTGCCCCCCTGCAGGCGGCCAGACTCAGCACAACTTCAGCACCTGTTGCAGGTGGAGGCGTACGTCGGCGGCCGTTTCCCAGGGCACCACGCTGGCACGGAACGAGCTGGGCTCGGCCTTCTGGGCCTCCTGAATGAGGCGGTGCATGGGGTAGCCGCGGCGTGGGAAGGCCACGTCACCGCCCGCCAGCAGCCCCATGGGGCAGAAGTCGTTGGCGCCGTCGCCCACGTAGAAGAGGCGCTCGAAGTGCACGCCATCGTGGGCCCGCTCGCGCAGGTAGTCGCTGAGCACCTTGTGCTTGCACATGTTGGCGGGGCATCGCGTGCAGCTGTGTGTGTGGAACGGCCGCAGAGCCAGCAGTCCCCGCGCATCCGGCCCGGATGGATTGCTGAGGATACGGCGGAACAGGCTGTGGTGGCCGGCGGCGCGCAGCGCGCTCTCCACGCCAAAGGTGTTGGCATCGGAGATGAGAATCACCTCGAAGCAGGCGCCCTGTTTAGCCACAAACTGCAGCAGGTCGCCCATGCCTGGCGACAAAGGGATGGCTTCGTAGATGGCACGCAGGTCCCGCGGTCGCACACCCTGCTCTCCCAGGTACTTGAAGACGCGCTGCATGTACTCGTTGTAGAAGCCCTCGCGGTAGGTGGCTCGCAGGCTCTCCGGGAGCCGCTGGCCTGGTGCGGCGCGCACAATGGAATCGTCGCTGTTTTCGTCCACGATAGTCTCGTCGAAGTCGAAGGTCAGGAGGAAGCGCGGCGCGCCCTGCGCAGCCATCCCGCCGTCCTGGGAGCAGGGGGGAGAGCAGCAGGAGGAGGAGGAGGAGGGAGCAAGCGAGAGGGGGCGCGGCAGGAGCCCGCCCGGGAGAGGCTGGTTAGCGGGCCACGGCCAGAGGCGCTGGCACATCCAAGACCTGAGGAGGACCCAAGTCTGGTTAAGCTGGGAGGAGTACCCAATGCCACCACCTCTATCCCCAGCCTTCCCTGACTACCCCCGTGGCACCTCTTAGTTAACTGCACCGGGGTTTATGCCCAGAGGGCTTCCCGGCACCTGTTTTCGGTACTCTCATCAGGGACCAATGGGGCTTAAAAAGGGTCAAAAGAAGGGAAGAGCAGCTTCCAAGGATCACCACTTTGGGGAGGTTTCTGGACTGGACTGTTTTGGAGACTTCCAGTGGCCCCTGTTGTTCGTGTGGATCAAGAGAGGGTGGTGGGAACTCTCCCCTTCCTCATTCCCTGAGGCAGAGTCAAGGGAAACCACCCATCCACCCAACTGGACCGGCTTCCCCATTCAACTTTTGGGCTGTGGGGAATCTATGGCTCTCTGGGAGCTGCTTCCAGCCCAATGGCACTGGACAGAGGTCTAGGGATGGGGCACAGCTTCTCCAGGGAGTTTGAGGGCCCTGTGCTGACAGTTCATCACTAATCACTTGCCAATTCCCCAGGAAGAACGTGTCAGCGGGTGGGGTTTCTGCCAGAGTCCGAAGCAAGCGGGCAGCAGGAGAAGCAGTGGGGCTTGGGGAGGTAAGAGCCTCCCGCACCAGGCCACGACATACCTGGGAGACAGGTAAGGGAGAAGAGAGAGCAGCAGTGGCTGAAAAGGCAGAGGAGTGGGAAGGGCCAGGTAGTGGGGACTTAAGGGGTGTGGAAGAGAGGGCTGAGAGGAAATCATGCTAGGGGATCTTGGAGACAGACTGCTGGACAGGAAGACAGAGTAGGGGTAGGGATAGGGGAGTTCCAGGAAGTGGAGACCTTGGGCCAGAGTCATGTTGGACGGGAGGGTAGTAGGCAGCAAGGGAGAGGACAGAGGACAACAGGGGACATGTCAGGGCACAAGGAAAGGCAAGCAATGGAGGCAGCAAGAGCCCTCAGCAGCAAGTCTCCATCACTTTTGCCTGCCAGTGTGTGAGAGGCGCAGAGGGGCAGTGAGCAGGTGACATGCAGCTTCCAGATACCCACACACTGCTTTTCTCCCGCCCAGCTCCCACCCCAGTTAATTGAGATGGGATTGTTCCTCTTTCTGGTTTCTTCCTAAACCCCTCTCTCATATTCCTGGGGTGCTTATGGCCTGGCACACCTTGTGAAACAGAAGCCCAAGCTCCTCATTTCAGAGCTGGGATTTCGATTGGCTATCTGCTGTCCTAACCAAGCTGTCCCTTCCACCTCATCCCTAGAGTCACCCTATGGTCTCATCAACATCCAGTGGGCATTTCAGTGGCCCAGGATCCTTCAAATTGCAGATATAAAGCATCAGGACCCCACACCTGGGATGGAAGCTTCTAGGAAATCATGAAGCTCCAGTAGAGGTGAGGGTAAACCTGAAATGGGCTGGATAGGGCCTCTCCCAAGGCCCTATGGAAAGGTGATGGAAAACTGGGGGCTGAGGCCTCATCCTAGGAGACCCCCAGAGGGACCCACTTACCCTAGATAGGCAGCGGAGGCCAGAAACTGGAAAACAGCCACTCATTGTTGGTGCATTACGTGGGCACCACCTGTAGGAACTCTGTTGGCCTCCAGCCGTCGTCAAACGTTCCTGACAACCACAAAAGTTCATTTGAGGGTGCCCAGTCAGCTGCCTTTGCTTCCACAAAGAATACCCATCTGGCCCTGGTCCTTCTGCTGAGCCACAGGAGGCACTCCCACGGTCTTAGCAAAAACAACCCCTCAAATAGGCCCAGCACCTACAACTCTAGAGAGGTTTCAGATGGTATCAGAGACCCAGAGAAGTTAACTGACTTTCCAAAAAGTCACCCATTGTAAATGGCAGACCGATCTCAAACCCACATCTGAGCCTGAGTCCAGTGCTTTTTCTCTAGTATCATCATTGTCCCTTAAATGTGTTTGACACATCATAGTTTACAAACTACCTTTACTCATATTCTCTCACTACTCATTAATCATAAATTCAGCCAATGAGAAGGGCTCAGAGAGGTTAACTAACCAGCCACACTGTCTACAGGGGGCATAGACTGCTTTGTGAACGCTTGACCGCAGCTTTGCCTTCTTTGTGCCCTCAAAAAGGAAGATGACCAAAGCTTACTATACCATAGCTGGGGTCTGGGACCCCCAGTCAGGTCTCACAGGTGATCTGGGAATGGCCTCCCTGGTGCTCTCAGGGGTCCAGTAGTCAGACAGGAGAGTCAGGTTGAAATCTCGGCTAGACTTTGGTGTGGCTTTGGGGACTGGGTTTAACCTCTTGGGGACTTCACTAAGAGAGCGGCAAAGGATACCACCTACAACTTCCAGTGCCTCTCTACTCTCCCACCTGTGCTCCTGGGGTTGAGTGAGACCAGAGGCAGCTGGGACAAGATTTGGACAGATACAGAGAGCCAGGAGACAAGACCTGGAGAGGAGCAAAGGTCTGGCTGGCTGCTGCCCTCTGGTGGTAACAATGGTGACTGTAAACCCCTCTGTCAAGGTGACACTCCTCCCCTGACTATCCAGGAGGGAGAAGCAATTGCCCCAGGACAGAGACAGGGACATCCCAGGAGCAGGGCACAGGCTCTAGCACTATCCATCTTGTAGCACCCCCTCCCTCACAACACCTGGACCACACATGTGTTAAATCCTTCTGCAGGGATGGAATGCGGCTCTCAGTTTTTCCCAAGAACTTCTAATCTAGGAATTGGGAGAGGTGGTCAAAGCTGAATGAAGCAGTGGGCAAAGAGAGGGTGAGGGATGGGAGAGAACAGAGGTTAAGGAGGAGGTGGGAGAGAAGGGGAGGGTTGCATGAGGGACAAGGAAATGGCATGGGTTGGAGCTGTCCCCAGTCCCTATCTGGAGGGACTTCCAACCTTCCAGATTCCCAGCTGATATCACATGTCCAACCTCAGCCAGGCGATTTGTAAGAGAAAGGTCAGAGATGCCACTCCCCTTGTAAAAGCAAACAGGACAGGCACATGCAGCACGTGGAGAAGCAAGGGGCAGATACAAAGATTCCAAGGGGTCACCAGCAGCTACCCAGGGACCAGCTTTCACAGGCACATGCAGGCACGGAGAAGCAAGGGGCAGATACAAAAGATTCCAAGGGGTCACCAGCAGCTACCCAGGGACCAGTCGTGGAGAAGCAAGGGGCAGATACAAAGATTCCAAGGGGTCACCAGCAGCTACCCAGGGACCAGCTTTCATCCCATAGAAAAGGGTCTCATTACTTTGCCCTCTTCCTTCCTTCCTTTCTTTCTTTTCTTTCTCTTTCTTTCCTTTTTCTTCCTTCCTTCTTTCCTTCTTTTTCTTTCTTTTCCTTCCTTCCTTCCTTCTCTCCTTCCTTCCTTCCTTCCTTCCTTTTTTCTATTCTATTGACCATTAATTATGGTCAAAACTTCTCATTTTTTCAACCAGGCAGGGTGGCTTAAGCCTGTAATCCCAACACTTTGGGAGGCCGAGGCAGGCAGATCACTTAAGTCCAGGAGTTTGAGACCAGACTGGGTGACATGGCAAAATCCTGTCTCTTTAAAAACAAAAATGAGCTGGGAATGGTGACTTGTGCCCATAGTCCCAGATACTTGGGAGGCTGAGGCACGAGGATCACTTGAACCCAGGAGACAGAGGTTGCAGTGAGCTGTGATGGTACCACTGCACTCCAGCCTGGGTGACAGAGGGAGTAACCCCATCCCCAAAACACACACACACACACACACAATTCCTCATATGTCATCATAAAAGACAGTTACATTTTTCTGCTAATAATAGTATCTAGGGGATTCAGTTAAACACTTATTGTTTGGTGAGTTGCCCTTGTTTCTTTTAGTCTCTAAGGCAGAAAGTCAGGCATCTTGGGTTTCTTCCCCTGAAAACTGAGAAGACCATGCTGTGACACCTCGTCCCCACCCCACAGGAGTCAGAGGAACCCCTTCCCCTGTTGGACTTTGGCTCCTGTGATGTTCCAAAAGGCCTCTCACCTCTGACACCTTTGTTCTGAGTCATCAAATCCTTTTGTGGTCACCAGAGTCCCTCAGAGTAGGGGGCAGGATCTGAGCTTCTCTAACAGGCTAGAGAAGGGAGAACGGTTTCTAGGGGCTTGCAGGGAGTCCATATTCTAGTCCCACCTAAAAGTAGTGCCTACCTCCTTAATTCTGCACTGAGTCAGATTCCTGCCTGCTTCTCCCGCCTTTCACACAAATGCTCTTAGATTAAATATGTGGGAAGGGGGTGGGAGGGAAACAGGCCCCTCTCTGATACAGGCCCTAAGTTTGAAATTCCCTTCTTATTGGGTGGATGGAGTTCCTAGAAAAGTTTTGGCATAGTTTTCCACAGGAAATGTGCAGAATGAGGATGGGGAGGCGAGGACTCCAGAAAGAGCACGGTAACAAGCCCTCTCTGTCCCAAAACAAGTCTCCTTGTACCAGTCCCTAGAAATCAGATCCAACAACTAAGCTAGAATTCCCTCCCTCTCCCAGACAGCGTTCCCAAACATGACCATCTTCCTTGCTCACCACGCCTGAACAGCAGATAGGAAAAACAGAGGCCCAGAGAGGTCAAGCTAACATCCTGGGGGTCACACAGCATCGGAACCGAGATTAGAACTCAGGAGTCTCTGGCGCCTTTTGGGAAAATTGCAGCTGGAGCTCCCCCCTTGGCCCTGGAGACTCCCGTGGGCTGACAGCTTGCGGTCCTGACCAGCTGGTGGTGGTGGCCCTGCGCCCTGGTGCCAGTGAGGCGTCTGGGTCTAGCAGTCACCTCTGGGCACTGCCTGGCTGGGAGGACAATCTGGGAGGGGATCCTAGGGGCAGGGGCAGGGGCAGGGAGGTGGCAGCTGCCGGTTGGGTTGGGGGAGAGATATTTTTAGAGGTGACTAGGAAGCCAGCACTCTGGCGCACCCCCAGCTGGCGGGCGCTGGGCTCCAATGCGGGCGGGGGGTGCGCGGCTGGGGAGGGGTATTGTGGGTGGCAGGGAGCAAGGGGACACCAATTCCTTGGCTTTGCCTGAGTCGGGGACGGAGGGATACCCCAGCACTATGTTCCTGGGTAGGATAGAGAAGGGCACTCACTCCTGAGCTCCAGAACTCCCCCACTGCCACGCGCGTGAAGGAGCGCCTTCAAACTCCACAGCCCCCACCCCGCGCCGGGACCCCAGCCCTCCCCTATCTCCCGGAGCCCAGGACTCACGTGGGGGCGGCGGCGGCAGAGGTCTGTCCCGGCCGAGTTTGGTGTGTAAGAAGTGGGGAAGGGGGCTAGCTGAGGTATTGGGGCGCCGGATGGAGCAAGGGGTGCTTACGGGAATTGGAGGGGACGCGGTGTCTTATCCACCCCCGGATTTCTGGGCTCCGGCTCACGAGTCCCTCCAGTCCCGAGGGACTGAGGACGATGTGCGTCTGAGCCGTCCCCTCCACTTGCCCCCCATCCCCCCGGGCAGCCGCCGCGTCCCCTTTAAATGCCCGGGAGCCGGAGCCGGAGCCGGAGCCGCGGCCGGCGCTGCGGCTGCTGCAGCAGCGGAGCCCACCGCAGTCCCCACACGTCACAAGCGACTGTCCAATCACAGAGGCGCCGGCGCACATCAAAGGGGCGGGCCGCCCGAGGCCACGCCTCCCTCCTCCCCCGGAGGCTCCCGGAGCGCCAGCCAAGGTGGGATTGGGCGCTTGGGGAAAGGGTAGCAGGGTGGCGACGGAGCGCTGCCCTTCCGAGGAGCGTGGGTGGGGGCACCCTCACTAGAGCGGCTGTGGACATACGCTAAATCCCTGCCCACACACCCCAAATTGCCAGGGCTGTGGACTTTCTCATCCGCCGCCTCCAGGGCTCCTGTTCCTGAGATTTGCAGAAGTGCACCTCCACCTCCTGCCCATTCCGCTCTCGGGTCCTAAACCCAGCGGCGCAGCGTCCTGGCCCGGCTCTCGGGACCCTTTCCCCAGGTTATAGGTTACTGAGGGTTGCGGGGGGTAACGGGAGGAGTGACTCCCCCTCCTCCGCCCGTAAAGTTGGTGAAGGGGGTGGTGACAGACAGTTTGCCCCTTTTGCAAATGGCACTATAAATAAAAAACACACTTTCTCCCCTGCTGCCTAAGAATCAGTTTCTCCCCAACCCTAATCTCCTCCTTTTGGCCCTCCCAGCCTGCTAGTGAGGAGAAGGAGAAAAGATTGTGTTTAGAGAGGAAAGACGTGAAACTGGTATTCACTGAGAACGTACGATGAATTGGGCGTTCGGGTTAGGTCGCTGCGTTTATGGCTGAATGTTCACAACACTCGATACATTATTTGCCTATAGCCGTTCAAACCCGGACACACCTGACTCCACTGGGCCACAAAGGCGTGTGTAGGTGGGGAGAATGCACTTTGGAAGGCCAAGGTGGAAGGGTCGCTTGAGCCTCGGAGTTCGAGACCAGCCTGGACAAAATAGGGAGACCCCATCTCTACAAAAAATTAAGAAATTAGCTAGGCATTGTGGCATGCACCTGTAGTCCCAGCTCTACTTGGGAGGCTGAGGTGGGAGGATTGTTTGAGCCTGGGAGGTCAAGGCTGCAGTAAACTGTGATCACACCACCACACTCTAGCCTAGGTGAAAGAGTGAGACCCTGTCTCAAAACAAAACAACAACAACAACAAAAGTGAGCTTGTCTGGGGTCACCCAGGTGGTAGGGCTGGGGTATCAACCTGGTTGCCTTATTCATCACCCCATACTGTCCGTCTCATTGTCTGTCATCCCTCCTCTCCTGTAAGCAACGTGAGGACCATGTTTGTCTTATTGATATACCCCCATCCCCTAGCATAGACAGCCTGGCTGGTACACAGTGGGCCTTGGATGTTTGTTGAGTGAGGCCAGGTGCAGTGGCTTATGCCTGTAATCTCAGCACTTTGGGAGGCTGAAGCAGGTGGATCATTAGAGATTAGGAGTTTGGGACCAGCCTGGCCAACATGATGAAACCCCATCGCTACTAAAAATACAAAAAAAAAAAAAAAAAAAAAAAAAAAAAACCAGATAGGGGGTGGTGGACCTAAAACCCCCAACTCCGGGCTCCGGGGGGGCGAAGCAGGAGAATCACTTGAGCCCAGGAGGCAGAGGTTGAAGTGAGCAAAAACCATCCCACTCCACCCAACCCAACAAGAAAACACAACACCCCAAAAAAAAAAAAAAAAAAAAAAAGTATGTTGAATGAAACAAGTCCCCTGCTGTGTTTAGCTCCAGGTTAGTACTCCATTTGTGTTCCTTCACTTTGTCTTCACA